CACAGAAAGCTGGGACACAGAGAGCTGGGTCTCAGAGAATAAAGCTGTAACACAGACTAAGCCGAGTCTTGAGTCCTGTGCCTTACTACCGGCGACCTAGCCTCTCCGGGGGGTGCACTCCCTCGTTACCAACTTGCGGACATTCTAGCTTTCGCTGTCCTCGTACTCTTCCCGTGGGGTTCAGTGGCCAGTGGACCTCACATCCTGAGGAAAGTACACGGGTGAAATAGGGACAGGATTCAGCTGGACAACGCTCCAGTAGCAGAGAGGCTGTCAGCACCGGAGTGGCGGACAGCGACCTATCCGCGGCCGCTCCCAGAGGCCTGTGGCCAGAGCCGTGCCGAGACTCGCCAGGTGTGGCGGGGACCCCGAGATCCAGGGGCCCAGAGCGACCCCGAGATACCCGCACACCCCACGCCTGAGGCCCATAGAGACACGGAGAAGCCCGCGGGGCCAGACCTGCCTTCCTCCAGACGCTCTGCGGGGGAGCCTGCGGACCCGCCGTGCCATTCCGGGAGTGCACACCTATACCTTTCCACAGGGAGCTGTGGAGCGATTTGAATGGCTCAAAAGTACCTAGTTTGAATTAAGATGTGTTTCTAATCACAGTCTTCTAATGAGAGTCATGTGTTTTGAGTTATTTATTTTTATGCTATTCTTAGGTTTCTATTTTGTTTCCACTCGCCTTTACAAATCAGCAAAGTTCATTTTGAAAACAGCAGTTTGGCACAGCTGTGTTTTCTTGAGAGAGGGCAAGAAGAGGCAACCATAGATAGATCAGGAGAGAAAAAGCAGGGTCTGAAGAACTTCAGAGTCTGTTTCTCAAGACAGTGAGAAATACGAGGGAAGTGAACCCAACCCAAGGAGAGCTGAGGCCTCAGGGAGAGAGGGAGAGAGACGGCCACTTCGCAAATTCCCCGTGAAGGGTTGTCCAGCTCTCTGGCTTCAACCATCGGAAGGTTCTGTGTTATCCCAGTATCCACATGCTAAGCACTCCACCACTGCAATGGGCAGTTCTGTTGCAAATCTCTAGGGCAGAAGGCGCATGGTACTGAGAATTAAATTGATAGGAATTCAGCTCATCAGGTGTGCAACACTCAAGGCCTCTGCTGTTAGGCACTGTGGGTACCAGACTGCAAGAGCTCCAGGGATTCTCCTGTCCTCCCATCTTGCCGTAGGAGCACTGGGATTATAGACATGCAATACCACACCTGGCTTTCTGAGGGTTCTAAGGGTTCAAGTTCATTCCTCACATTTACATGGCAAGTGCTTTACCTACTGAGTGTTCTCCCCAGCTCTACTCAAACTATTTTCCAACACAGTCCTTCTCATAGTAAATGCCAGTGGGTGATTATTAGACACTGGGATCCAAAGCTTCTTTGATGAAGATAAAAAAGGAAACACAAAAATCTTACCAAAGTTTAATGTATATTAAAGAAAACGTTCTACAAAATAAAAGGAAGGAGGAAGGGGGAGAGAGGGAAGGATTCAGAGTGCTTTCATTACTGAACAATCTACAACAAAGCGCAGAAACCAATGAATGGTCTCTGAACAACTATAACGAAGAACCTTAAAATAGGGTATTAATGACAACCTTGGTTTCACCAACTGCTGTGGTTGAGAGATGTGCAAATCCTTTCTAAGCAGAAAATTACCTTGAATGACCCTGGTTCTGGTGAGAGCACCTCCAAAGAAGCATTTGAACCTCTGCTCCCAGGACATGATCTTGAACTTGAAGCTGGTTTTGAAATTCCATCTAAGCTTCCTTTTATAATATCCATTGACACCCTAAAACCAACCCAAAAAAATTAAGAAGTAACTTAGATGTCTAAATGTTTCATTAATTACCCTTCAATTACTCAGAACCTGTTTACTACCAAAGTCACACTTAAGCACCCTTCAATTTCATCAAAAGAATCTTGTATATGTGGATTTTTACATCTTATTTTACTGTAGGCACAAAACATCCAGACTTAGATACTGAAAGCAGCTGACACAGAATGCTATGAAAGCCCGCTCACTGCCTGCCTGACCCTGCAAGAGAAAATACTTGTGTATTTGCTCTTCCCTAAGGGAACACTCCCAAGATACCCGTCTCTCAGTCAAGACCCACTTCATCTCAATGAATGCCTAAGGCCTCCTTGCTCCCTCCTCTGGGTTTGCACTCCTTATTCTAGGCTTCCCCTCTCTAGCTCAGCCTCAGCCTGTCTTCCACCCAGCTCTGACTTCTCTTCTCCTTGAAGCTATATTTTCTGGACCACCTACCTCCAGGGTACTTCTCTCATTTAATCAGCTATCCTCTTCTAAAATGCGGGTTATAAAGCATGGCTCTACTTCTGACCTCTGGCACAAGAGCACAAACCGATAGCCTTCATTAGAGGACAGACTCTGGCTGTACTTTGTCAATCTCTTCCTTAAGTACTTTGTGCGGGACACTGTCCACCCTAGCTTCTCTATTCCCTGTGTGAATTTAGGAGACAAGAATTACTAGGCAGAGTAGCTTAAACCAGAGGGAAGAGAACCTTACAGACATACTGATCCTGTCAAACTATGGTCTTGATAGGTACCCTTCTGGATATGTCAAGTAATGATGGAATAACATAGTACTATGAACTGGAAGGCACAGAAGATTGCAGCTTTTGTCTTCTTGGTGTTTAGCTTAAATATGAATGAGTATCATCCACCAAATCTTTTCTAAATTTTTATAATTACGTATAAGCATTAAAACTATAATGTCCTTTCTTACTCTACAAAGTAACTCATCTTTCTTTCTGCTTGTGGACCACAGAGGCAGAGTCCAAAGAAGCTTTGCACTCAGGAGGAAGCACAAACATTAACAACCTGAAGCTTCTCTCAGGCACACTGAAGAACAATATGGTTTGGCCTCCAACTGCGCAATATGCCAATGCTGGCACTTAAGAGAACAGCAGGTCAACTCTTCCCACTCAGAAGGAAAAAGGCATTGATGTCAACATTATTCAAACTCTGAAAAAAGGCTTGGGCTCATTCAGGAAGGGCTTGACATTATTACTGCAAAATGATGGATCACCCTGGCCCATCACAGCACAACCAGAAAGCATAAGTCACCAAAAGGTCAAATGTCTTTTCCATGCCCTAAGATCCTGTCAAGGAGGACTTATTGCAGCTTGCAGAGAAACAGTGAGATGCAGGCATGTGCAGAGCTGATATAATACATGTCAATAAGGGCCAGGGCACAGGCACCCATCAGTGACATAGATCAGCAGAAAGTCCCAGAAACCTTTCCATTTGCTTTAGAAACTAGTCTGTTACTATTATATTCTCTCCTAAACATAGTTCCCAGGAAATACAACTGAGAGACTGTGTATTTGGCCACCTGGAAAGAACTGGAATAAAGAGCATAGAAACTAGATCTTATAGATGTATTATATGTTGAAGAAATCACTTGTCACATAGAGTTCACATTAAAAGTAACTGTATAAGAAAGTAATAAAACAATATGCAAATAGTTATATAAGCACTGAGTGTTGACTTACCAAACACTGTCCCTTAATTGAGTGTATGTGGGGAACAATATCCATAAAGGGGGGGAGAAGAATCTATCATAATAGGAAATCAAAGAAGACATTCAAAAATAGATTAAGTCAAACATTGGTTAAGTAAACATTAATATTTAAGAGTTCAAGATGGTTGCCTCCAGAGAATGTGACCAGAAATTGTTGTTATTCCTTCCATTGTAGATGTCATACCACAGTTTGACTTTTGGGAACATATTACTTTGATGAAAGTAAACACCAATTTTAAAAGCAATGAATAAATGTAAAATATGCAGTCTTCAAAGGACTGGAAGAAAGCACAAAGATAACTGGCAAAAATATGAAATGAATGACTTATTAAGCATGACAAGAACATAAATCAAAAATGAAGAGAAAACCTATTTGATTACACAATGCTTCATGCTTGTGGTTTGAATGAGCAGTGTCCCCCACAAGCTCAGGTATTTGAACACTTGGTCCCCAATGGATGGCCCTGTTTGTGGAGGTTACGGAAACCATAGGAGGTGTGGCCTTTCTAGAGGAACTATGTCATTGGAGTGGGCTTTAAGAGTTGGTAGCTTCACCCCACTTCCAGGTGACTTTCTCTGCTTCCTGGGTATGGTTAAAGATATGATCTCCTGGCCTCCTGCTCAAGCCACCTGCTGCCATGTGTACCCCTCCACTATGGGCTCTCCCTCAGGAACTGTAAGCCAAAATAAACTCTTTCTTCCATAAGTTACTTTTGGTGATGATATTTTGTCACAGTAACAAAAAGTAACTAATACAATGCTCTTGAGTCTCCCCCAATTCCCCCTGAAAAAATCTACATGAGTGTTCCAGTTTGCTTCTCTATTGCTGTGCTAAAACACTGACCAAAACCAACTTGGGTAGGAAAGGGTTTATTTCAGCTTACAATGTCTAGGTCACAATCCAACATCGAGGGAAGTCAAGGCAGGAACCCAAGGCAGGAACATACAGGCAAGGAGCTATATTCTGGCTTCCATTGCCATACATGTCCTTGTACAGAATTTTACTGTGCCTATTAATACTCTGGGCCATAGCTTTACCACCTCTCCAAGCTTGATCAAAAACATTGTAATTTTCATCTTCTTCTCCTGCAAATCCACTCATCATACCCTTGGATTGATTGAAGAGCATTTGGTCATACTAGACTTCATTGGAAGTTTGAGATTGGGCACAGCAGGAATAACAACTTCACTGATACCTTGCTTTTCATGTCTCTGCACTTTTGACCTCTCATCAGGATCTGCCCTGGAAAGACTCCAGACCTGCTGTCTCTCTTTTCGCCTACCATGCCTGATTTCATACCTTTCCCGTGCCTCTCCATCCGCTTTTTCCACATGGGTTTTAATCCCAGCTCTCCTCTTTGGCTTTCTGAGCCATTTCTCTAAGCTTCTCTTCATGTTTCTCCGTTTCTTTTTGAGCCATCCTTCTCTCTGCTTGGGCCTGCATTTCCACAGCTTCATGACCCTTCTGCTCAGCAACATTGAGAGCCTCAGCCAGTTTGGCAAACTTCTCACTGATATGTACTGCCTAAAGCCCACTTCTGTCAGAGCTAGCCATTTATCTAATGGAACTGTGTAATTCTTTGTGTTTCTCCAGGGAAATACACTCCTGTTGTTTCTTCACAGTCATCTTCCAACTAGGAGAATACATTACAGGTACAGGAGGAGATGGTGGTCCAAGGTATTTTCTTATTAATCTTGAACCTTGGAGGCTCCATTGGATCTTTCTGTAGTTCTACCATCTGAATAACCCTTTGTTTGGCTCCAGAGAATGCCACTCCTTGCTGTGATGATGTGTATTGGATGTACTGAGCAGGGACCAGCTTGTCAGCTGCTCCAACTGGCATGGCTGCAGTGATCTGCAATACAATTTTCTCTAAGGCTAGCCTTGTCTTTTCTGTTATCTCTTTAATAGATTCATCATCAGGTCTTTGAAGGTCTGTCTGGGTCATTTGCATTCATAACGTCCTTTGGAACCAGGTCAATATACTTGCTATAAATGACTGGATAGAATCCAAGTAGTCCAACAATGAATGCCTGCACCATCAGAGTGGGGACGGGGACAGCCTGTGGAGGGTCAGACAAACTATGCTAGAGGATTAAGCTAGTCTGGTCTAGATCTCAGATCCAGAGATCTGAAGTGGAAGGGCAGGAGCAGGTCTGGACCCAAGGCCAGAAGGAGGACAGAGTGCAGAGAGAGTGGAGCTGTTCAGGCTTCAGAGGAATCAAGGAGCAGTGGGCAGGATCTCTAAAGAAGTGTTAAGGATCAATAAGAAAAAAAATTAGTAGAAGAACAGCTAAGGTCATAAACAAAGAGTTTGGGGCTGGAGAGATGGCTCAGCAGTTAAGAGCACTGGCTACTCATGCAGAGGACCCAGGTTTGGTTCCCAGCACCCACATGGCAGCTAATAACCATCTGTAACTACAGTTCCAGGGAATCCAACGCCCTCTTCTGACCTCCACCAGCACTGCATGACCAACACAGGTGCACTTAAATAAATGCAGGCAATACACTCATACACATAAAAACTAAAAATAATAAAATATTTTTAAATAATAAAAATAAAGAATTTGCATGGAACAAAGGAAGGAAGGAAGGAAGGAAGAAAGGGAGGGAGGGAAGGAAGGAGAAAGGAAGGAAGAATAGAGGAAAGAAGGGGAGGGAGGAAGGAAAAGGAAGAGTGGGAAAGAGAAGGGGAAGGAGAAAGGGCAAAAGAAAGGGAAGGGAAAGGAGGGAAACAGGGAGGGAGGGAGAGAGGGAGAGGACAAATCATTGCCAGTTCTTGCTTTTAAAAAGTCCAATGTCATACTTAAGGAAGCAGAGACCCTCAAGGACATAAGCATGCTCCCTGACTAGAGGGCTCCTGGATGTTCCTGTGTCCTTTTTTTTAACCTTTTTCTTTTTTGTATTTCCTGGTTTTCTAGTAAGTCTGTTTTGCATTCACAATTAAAGAATTTGTTGCAGAAAAATTTCTAGAATTTACCAAAATGTATTCAAAAATAAATAAGAATCATGCCAACCCTACAACATCTTAGACTAATAAATCACCATTGGCACATTTCTTATTCTTTTTATCTTCTTCAACAAAATTGGTTTCATATGTTTCTCACTTAACGCTACATGATGTGCATTTTCTTAGGACATTAAAAAATTCAAAAATAAAATATCAGTCACCCTATAGTCAGTGAAATACATACAAACCAATTTAAGTTGTAACAAATCACTATTAACACATGCCAGCATTTTATAACTTTTTAAAATTTTTATTTATCATTTTTATTTTATGTGTATGAGTGTATTACCTGCATGTATGGAAGTAGACTCGTATTGTGCAGTGTCTGTGGAGGTCAGGAAGAGGGCATCAGATTCCCCTGGAACTGGCGTTACAGATGGTTGTTAACCACCATGTGGGTGCTGGGAATCGAATCCGGGTCCTTCGCAAGAGCAGCTAGCGCTCTTAACCATTGAGCCAACTCTCTAGCCCCCGTTTTATAACACTCTTAATCAATTCATGTAGATTGGATATGCAGTATTTGCGCTTATGAAATGAAACTGCCTGTTTCTCCACTTGGTTTGCAGGTAGCCTGGTTCCCTGCAAAGCCCTTTCATATTCTCCAATCTGACAGACACCCAAAGGGACCTGTAAATTGTGATAACATTTCTTTCATTATGAGAAAAGGTCTCTAGTGTTTACCAGTCATTTATTTACATTTTTTTTTTAATCATGACTATATGCATCTTTTGGCGCTTAGGGTCTAAGCTACTGACTAGTTTTCTAGACTTCAGTGGAGAGAAAGCTCGGAAAGGTGGACGAATCAAGCTAAAAGGGCGTTTCCTGCAAGGACTATGAAATCCCCAAGAGCAGGAGACCCACAGACCTTCTGCGGCCCGGTCACGCCCCCTATGGCCCACTGTCCTCGTGGACAGCCGTTGGGCCACGCGGTGGGACTCAACTCCGCCCCGCCCGGTCTCCACCGCGATCCGCGCGGTCCCTCACCTTCCCGGCGGGGACTAAAGCTAGGCGGCTGACGGGCGCCGCTGACACCCGCAACGTCGTCCACTTCCCTTCCAAAAGGACAAGTCTTTCGCCCCACGGCAGCTGCCCTTGTCACGATGGAAGATGCCTTAGTCAAAAGCCCACGGCCGCTAGGAACGCTGTTGCCAGGCAACCAGAAGCGCGCAATTCCCAGTCTCGCGATAGGACAAAAGGTTTGTACCACCTGGGATGGACTGTGGGGACCAGGGGCAACAGGGACGGTCACAGCAACCTGCGGGGTGACGAGGTTGGAGCGAATCTGCTGTCTCCCTTGCTGCGGACGTTTGGGGGCGGGGTGGGGGGGTAGTATTCACGTTAAGTTGGACTACGAGCGAAGATCCCGGTGTTTGCATGGCTCTTCTGTTGCTAGGGTGTCCTAGAGGCCAGCTACCCCAAAGGGCTCAGTAACCCCTCCTAACAGAGATGCGACTTAGTTCATGGAAATGAAAGTCCTCGCAAATTTGGATGCTTTTGTAAATAAATAACAATAAAATTCTAGTTTTGTAAAAACTGGGCTTGAGTTCAAAAAGGGATAATAATGGTTGTTTGCACCTTTTATTCATAATTTCTGTAATTTACAGTGCATGGGGACTCATTGACTGGACCGCCAAATTGATTTTGCGCCTCATCGCCAGTACCATCAACCGTCCTCTGTGTTCCAGCCTGAATGGTCCCTGACTGTTCACAGGGCGTTTTCACATCCAAAGCCCCTTTATCTTCATGCTTTTGACCAAGTGAAGCAGTTCTTCAGTCTTTTTTAGCAGAGCAAATAAGCATAAACTGAGTTGTCCATCGAGCACAGGTATGATCTAGGGCCGTGATGCTGTAACAACTTGAGTTGTAAATTCCATCCACCACCGATCCTGTATTTCCATCTCCAGGCCAGACTTCTCCCTTGAAACCCAGATTCCTGTATCTAACCTCAATAAGACATTTCCACTTAGGTGTATGAGAAGCCTCTCAAACTTAACCGATCAAAAATCAAACCACTTTTCCATAGTCCCTCTCCTCACTCCAGCCCTTCCCGTCTCCAGTAAATAGCTCCATCCTCTCCATCCACCCTCATACCAACAACCTTGGCTGCATTCTCAATCCCGTTTCCTTTCACATTTATTATAAATGTTATCAGCTCTACAAGTTCAAATATATCCAGAATCCAAGCACTTCTCACACCCTCAATGTTTCCACTCACCTGATTTTTGCAAAAACCTACCTGTAGTTTTCTGGGGTTGTTTATTTGTTTGAGTAGGGGCCTCCCTTGTACTCGCTATACACTTGCAACACAGCAGCCTAAGTCGTGTGTTGAGAAGCTCAGTGGAATCCTGTCACCCCTCTGCTCCAGGCTCCTCCTGGTTCTCCACTTAATTTAGAGGACTTACAATGCCCACAGGTTCTTAATATCAGATTGTCACCTCTCTGCCTTGTGGTCTTGCCATCTCCTCCCTGCTAAACATTGCTCCAGTCTCCCTGCCCTTGTGGTTAATGCTTCTATACAAAAATTTCTTCCCTGTATTTCTCAGGAAATTTACATGTTTTCAAATCCCAATTTTTTTTTTAAGTTGAGAAATCCCAGAACACAGCAGGATGTATTGTCCTCTATGAGAACTAACCCTTGGCAGCCAGCATGAAGATGTAACTGAAGAAATCCACAGATGTCAAGTCCAAAAGCAAGAGCAGAAATGCAGGCACTGAGTAAAAGGCTGAGGCCAGAATTTCCTGGAACCAGGAACCAGGGAAGGGCATGGCACAATTTCTTCCAGTCTTCCTTATAACTGGTGTGTATTCTTGGCCCTGACTGTGCTGACAGGGGATCATTTTTGGGTTTGTTTGGTTTGTATTTGCCTTTCTAAAACAGAGTCTCCCTGTGTAGCACAGTCTGGTCTGAGACTTGCCATCCTCCTGTCTAGGCTTTTTGAGCACTGGGATTATAGACCTGTGCCATAATACCAAGCTTGCAGTGAATTATTCTTGTGAATAAAATAAATATTAAGAAACTGATGCTCCTTGTATGCTTTGTATAAATTCTCTGGGAGCAATGATTCAAGAAATAATGATAGGGATGGCAAGATGGCTCAGCAAGTAAAGGTGCTTGCTAGCAGGCCTAGAGACCTGAGCTCGATCCACAAAGCCCGTGTAAAAGTGGAAGGAGAGCACCAACTCACACAGTTTTTCTCTTGTCTCCACTTGCATGCTGTGGTACATGTGTGTGATATGCACTCACACACATACACACACACACACACACACACACACACACCAAGCATACACAAATAATTTTAATGAAAAGAACAAAGAAATAATAAGTTTGAGATTCAAAATAAGTCCTTATGTTGGCAATTTCCAACTCATGATATTAATATGTTAAATTACTGGTAGATTTGCATGTCACATGAAAACAAAATGAAGTAAGTAGATTGGGAACATAGCTCAGTGGTAAGAGTACTTGCTTAGCTTATGAGAGACCTTGGGTTTGATCCATAGAAATACATAAAAAAAAGAAGTAACTAAGGCTGTCTTTCTAAAGTGGAATCTGGATACTGTGAGGGGATTGCTCATTGCTAAAGGTCAAAGCATAGAATGTTCTAACAAACTTGAGTAAACTGACTGCAGCCACTGCTGCCTTCACCCTTTCTCAGCTGGAATTATCCTAGTTAACCTTCAAATCAGTGGGTTTGAATCAAAGATTTCTGCTCAGCCAATGAGCTGCCTGCACAAACTGCTCTTTGTGGAAATCACCTTTATAAAACCTCAGCTGTGCTTGCCTTAATGGGTGCTGTTCAGGGCTATCCTGTTTCACTGCAATTCTTCGTTTCTCCCAAAATGCTGCTTCTTTTGATCTTGGAATCAGTCTTCTTTTAGTTAACATTACATTATTGAACTACTACCCAATAATGTTCTCTGTGTTTTCCAGAATTTGAATTCTTACAAAAACTTCTAAACAATAGTTTGGATCTGGCAGGGTTTTTTTTTTTTTTCTTTTTCTCTGGGAGTTGGTTGGTCTTTCTCTGTGTGTAGTGCTGGGGATTGAAATCTATACCTTGAACATACTAGATAAGTGCTCTCTACCATTAAGCAGTTTTTCCAGTCCTAACAGTTCTTATTTTTTAAATAAATGCTTCAGATAGTTGTAATAATGAGTAAGAACATGAAGGAAGTTGGAAGTGTTTTAAGAATAACCTAAAGGCCTGGAGATATAATAGCAAAATCTGAGCTTAGCATGCACGAGGTCCTGGGTTCAATACTAGCACCAAATAACTTAAGATTTTGCACTTTGGTTTCCTGTTTCTACATGTGAAAGATTAATATTTGTCAGGAACTTAGAAATACTACTTGTTTCTCCAACACAATACACACATATACATAGACACACACACACACACACACACACACACACACACACACACACACACACACACAACCAGCTCACTAGTTCTGCCTTTAATAGTTTCCCAACCATCTCTAAGACTGGCTTTCTCTGTTCCTTCCAGTGACTGCTCCCTCAGGAAGCCAAATCACCACACTACATAAAATAATAATACCTATATTCCCAACTGTCCCCTGAATCCTGCTGTAAATGGACTTTTTGTTGCTGTGATAAAATACTTAACAAAATGAGTTTACAAGGAAGAAAAGTTTATTTTGGATCATGGTTTCACAGGTTTTGGTCCATGGTCACTTGGCCCTACTGCTTTGTATCCAAACTATAGTACCTGCTCCTTTTATCTTTTTATTTTATAAGAAAGGAAGTATCATTATTAGGATTCTGGTACTAAATAGATGGGTAACCTTAGATAAGCTCATAAATGTTTATGGATCAGAATTTCCTCATTTGAGAAATGAGGTTGGACTTGTTTTTCAGTTCTTAACTCCACTGCACATTAGAATCACCTGGAGAGATTGCATCAACTACCGGTCCTGGGCTGCACCTGAGAGCAAACCAGTCTGAAACTCCAGGGCTTATCCACTTTTAACATGCAGACAAATCACGCAGGGATCTTGTTAAAAATGCTGATTCAGTTTCAGGTGGGATCCTTGCAGGTCATGCCAACGCTCCTGGACCACCCAACGCTCTTTGAGTGGCTATAGGTTGACCATCTTCATATGCCTACATTCTGCTTATTTTCCATGAACAAGGCCCCTTTTTCCAGTTTTTCTTTAGGTTTTTTTGTATGTATGTTGTGCGTGGATGTGTACTCTGTGTGTGAGTGCACGTGTGTGTGTCTGTGTGTGTGTGTGTGTGTGTGCAGCCTACATGTGCCAATATGTGAGTGGAGGCCAGAGGAAAACCTCAAGTGTCAGCCCTCACCTTCCGCCTTATTTAAGACAGGGGTCTCTTGTTTTGCTGAAACATGCTGGAAACTAACAAGCCAGGCCCTTCTGGAAGTTTTCTTTTCTCTCCCTTTCTCCCTGTAGGAGTGCTGGGATTGCAGATGTGCACTTTGTCTCTGGATTTTATGGGCTTCTAGAGATTTGAACTCAGATAGCAAGCCCGTTTACCAACTGAGGAGTTCTTACCAACCCCCCTTTCTTTTTTGGTACTTAATAGCCCCCCCTTTTTTTTTTAAATCACATTTCACCAGGCATGGTGGCGCACGCCTTTAATCCCAGCACTTGGGAGGCAGAGGCAGGTGGATCTCTGTGAGTTCAAGGCCAGCCTGGTCTACATAGCGAGTTCCAGGACAGCTGGGGCTACAGGGAGACCCTGTCTCAAAAAGACAAAAAACAAAAAATCACATTTCTTGGTGATTATGTAGGAAGAAAAGTTAGAAAATAGAGCCATACATGATTTTGTATGTTCCTGGTATTTTTGCTTTTAAAACTGTTATCTTTAAAAACATATGCAACATCAGAGACATATAATGCAAGTGAAAAAAATTGTCTCTTCACTCTTTGTAACCTTTCCGCACTAATTTTGCATTAATGTATCTCATGGTAAATTGGTTTCTTAGTGTCCCCCCCCCTTTATTTACTCTTGGGGACCCCTGTTGTGTAAAGTGGCAGTCTCTCCATGTCCGGATAGCCTATGGGCTCAGCTTCATAGGCAGAGACTCCTTTTATCAGCAGGGTGCCTTCCCGGCATCTTTCTGACTCATCTTCT